AAGCTGCTTTGTGTAAGCATCCTGGTAACCTCAAAACAAAAACCTACAACAGACTCACAAAACATAAAAAGAAGGGAATCAAGGCCTAGAACAACCTACACTATTTAGTCATGAGGCTGGTGGACCTGTAACCATTAAGGTTGCTACATTTCACAAATAAAAATATAATATGTCCAGTTTAATTTGCATTTCTGCGCCCTCCCTGGCGGTGCAGCTGGCTAAAGCGCAGCACTGAAAAGCTAAAGCCACTTCAGCATGAGTTCGATCCCCGCCAGCCCCAGAGGTTACCACATGGCGCCACAGACCTCTCCTGACCAGCCAGCTGCTCCCCTCAGCAGTGTACTTCGTCGGTCTGCCTGTTCTGCTCCCCACTCTGTCTCTGGTGAATCCTCTCACCGCCCCTGCACCTCTGGCCTGTATCCCAGCTCTGTATGGATAAATAATTAAGTCTTCTAAAAATAAATAAATAAATAAAAATTTGCATCTCTGATAAACAATTTTTTTCTGGTATAAGTAGGTTACAAATATTACACAGGGCCTACTTATACTAAAGATTAACTAGTTACTAGGTAGACCCTTGCCTTTGTTCCCTAAAAAAATATTCCTTTATAAAGATAAAAAAAAACAAAATACAAGAAATGGGAGGGGGGAAATCCTATGATAAGCAAAAATAACACAAGATAAACCGGCTTAGTAAAAAGTTACCTAAGGGATTTTTCAAAGAGGTAAATGAAAAGAAAACCACAAAGGAGACTAGGATAAGAAAATATGGCAATGAAAACTCAAGAGACATTGTTGAAGTTCTATATTGACCTTACATACTCAGCTGCAAACTGAAAGATAATGAAGGCCACACAACAGGTTGGAATTGAGCATTGAAGAATGGAAAAGTGATATGGTATTGTCATCAAAATTTCACTTTGATGAAACCTTCCAGTTGTTGATAAGGAGACTAACTGAAAGACAAAGCTAAATTTATTAAACTTGCCCAGCAAGAGACATCTGCATTTACTTGGAAATTCTCTTTCCCAAATCTGCTTTAGCTGGTCTTCTATATATTCTACCGTGTAAGGACAGGGGATTTTGATTGGCTCTCACAAAAAGGGGAAAGATTCTGATTGGCTTTTAGACCAAATACAATCAGTCTCTGCATTCTGTAAGGTGGGTTTATTCTGGCGTCTTGATCACTGATGTAATTTTTCTAATTGAAATATGTATTATGTATCAATATGTTCACCCTTGTAAAATTAAATGTTCTACTGTATTCTCAAAGTTGTGCAACCATCACCATTAATTCCAGAATATTTTCCTCACCCCAAAAGGAACTTTGTACCCATTAAAAATCACCCTCCCGGCCCTCCCTGGTGGCGCAGCGGGTTAAAGCACAGCACTGAGAATCTAAAGCCGCTTCCGCATGAGTTCGATTCCCGCCTGCCCCGGAGGAGATCCACATGGCGTGGCAGACCTCTCCTGACCTGCCCGCTGCTCCCCTCAGCAGTGTACTTCGTCGATCTGTCTGTTCTGTTCCCCACTCTGTCTCTGGTGAAGCCTCTCGCCGCCCCTGAGCCTCTGGCCTGTACCCCAATTCTGTATGCACAAATAAATAAATCTTAAAAAAAAAAATCACCCTCCCATTATTTCCTGCCCTCACTCCCTAATCACTAAATTACCATTTGTTTCCATGGATTTGTCTATTTTGGACATTTTATGTAAATTGAATCATAAAATATTCAACCTGCATGTAAAAAGCAGTCTGCCTTCTGTCACTTGGGACGTTATTTTCAAGGTTTGTCTTTTTTTTTTTTTAATTATTTATTCATGCATACAGAACTGGGGTACAGGTCAGAGGTGCAGAGGTGGTGAGAGGATTCACCAGAGACAGAGTGGGGAGCAGAACAGGCAGATTGATGAAGTATACTGCTGAGGGGAGCAGCTGGAAAGACAAAGGAGATCTGCTGTGCCAGGTAGGTGCTGCAGTGGGTGTGGCTAGTGGTGTAAGTTAACCCTTGTGCCATCAGGGAGGGCCCTCAAAGTTCATCTTTGTCACAACCTGTATCAGTGCTTCATTCCTATTTATGGCTGCTCACTCCATTGTAGGGATCCACGACCTTTTTATAAAAAATATTTATTTTTTCGTACAGAACTGGGGTACAAGCCAGAAGTGCAGGGGCGGTGAGAGGCTTCACCAGAGACAGAGTGGGGAACAGAACAGGCTGACTGATGAAGTGCACTGCTGAGGGGAGCCGCAGGCGGGTCAGCAGAGGTCTGCCACTCCATGTGGTCACCTCCAGAATAGGAATCGAACTCTCACTGAAGTGGCTGCAGCTTGCTTGCGGTGCTGCGTCCTAACTCGTTGTGCCACCAGGGAGGACCCCACCACTTTCTGTTTATTCACCCATTAGGTGTTGAACATTTTTATTATTTTTATGTTTCAGGCAATTATAAGTAACACTATAATGAACGTTCATGTACAAGTTTTTATATGAACACATTTTTCGATTATTTTTAGTATGTACTTAAGAATGGAATTTCTGGGTAATCCTATGGTAATCTCTGGTGCAACTGTAGAAAATTTTCCAAAGAGGCAACATGATTCCTCAGCAATACATGAGTGTTTCCCTTCATGGATTCTAAGCTATATCAAATTCATGTAGGAGGGCCCTCCGCGTTGGCGCAGCGGGTTAAAGCACAGCACTAAGAAGCTAAAGCCACCTCAGCATGAGTTCGATCCCCACCCTCTGGAGAGGTGACCCCACATGGAAAGGCAGACCTCCCCTGACCTGCCCACTGCTCCCCCAAGCAGTGTGCTTCGTTGATCTGCCTGTTCTGCTCCCCACTCTGACTCTGGTGAGGCCTCTTGCCACCCCACACCTCTGGCTTATACCCCAGTTCTGTATGAATAAATTAATATATCTTTTTTAAAAAATTAAAAGTCATGTAGGAGCCCCCCAAAATGATGCAGGCACAGATTTTTCAGAACTTTTAGGAGGATAACTGATTTCCTTATAGTGAGTACTCTGCCAACTACAATTTTCAGAGTGGAAAGAGAACTAGAAAAGGTTTCAAAACTTGACTCTCATCTACTATATGACACCACTTCTGCTTTGACATCCCTACAAACTAGTCTCAATTCATTAACTAGAGCTGTCATGGGTAATCCTATAGATTGTTATTTTCTCTTAGTCAGGCAAGGGGAAATCTGTGCTAAAAGTAAACGCTACTTGCTGTACCTGTGTGTGTATGACAGAGCCAGGAGGAAAAGCCACCTGACTTTCTAAATGGACCTAACTAAACTCTGGGACGTGCTTTCATTGCCTGCATTTAATCTTCTAGGTCTTTTCCTTCCAGTCATTTTACTGATCAATAGATTTTTTTATTCTAATCATCACCATGTTTTAATTAGCCAATATAACCATTCTAGAATGTTAAGTGCTACTAGTAAGGCAACCATTTCATATCAGGTGATCCAATAACTCATTTTACAATAGAAGAAAAGCTTAATCCTGATTCAACTACAGACCACATCCTGTGGCTACTCTTCTTAAAATCAGCAAATTGATTTTACTCAGCAAAATTTAGGCAATGATGAAAATATGGATATAATAAATGAATGTCATGAGAGCTAACTTTGTACTTGAACGAAAAGGACTAAGAAAAAACAGTCCTGGAGAGCTGGAACTGACTCAATAATATGACAAGCTGATCTGAAAGCTCTTATATCACTTTGTTTTTGTTTTTGTTTTTTTACGATTTATTTACTTATGTATAGAACTCCAGGTAAAGGGGGTGAGAGGATTCATCGGAGACAGAGTTGGGGAGCAGAATAGGCCAACTGACTGAAATATACTACTAAGGGGAACAGTGGGCTAGACAAGAGAGGTCTGCTGCTCCATGTGGGTCAGCTCCCTGGTCAGGGAGCAAACTCAGGCCCTCTGCAGTGACAGCGCTGAGTCATAACCCCTAGTCTACCAGGGAAACCCTCTTATACCACTTTGTTCTCTCTTCTCCATATCTTTTCTCAGGGACTCTAAACCCAGTCAAGGTTACTCTGAGAACATAATAAGATGAAACAAAATAAGACCTTGACACAGAGGTAGAATGGTGGTCACCAGGGGCTAGGGAGAGAAGAATAGGGAGTTATTGTTTCATGAGTATAGTGTTTCAGCACTACCAGATGAGAAAGTTATGGTGATGGTGATTCTTTTTGGTTTGGGCAAGACCTTGCCTGTGACCACGGCCTCCCTTGCTGGTCTTGAACTTCTAGTGCTATGAGGCACAAGTGAGACTGTCTCTCATTCTTCAAGGAAGGCTCTTAAGGCCTGGTAATTTTCCAGCCCCACCTCCTCTCTGGGTCTCCCCTTTTTGGTAGAGCCTGATCACAAAGAATTGAATGAAGGATTTCTGTGTTGGTTTCCCCAAGCAGTTCGGGGGCGGGGGGGGCTCTCATAGTCAGGGATTGTTTTCTTTACTTTATACCCCTAGTGCCTGGTCCAGAGGAGGCACTTCTTCTGTGTGTCAGAGAGGGAGGAAGGCAGTGAATTTATAGCCCTTGTACCCAACCAGATGTGAGTCCCCTGGGAACTCCCTCAGAAGCCCTCTTGGCCACCTCCTGTCCTTTCTCCCACGGTGAAACTGGACTTGGTCAGGGAGGGATGTAGGTGAGAAATGTTTCATTCAGGAGTCAAAAAAATCTCCACCTATAGGACTTCTGGTTAATATCTTTATTTAGATCTGGTAAATATTTCCTACACACATCTGGATATTTGGGTTAGAATGGGTATAGAATGGTTTCAATAAATTGTTCTCAAGATTTTATATATGATAAATGCTAATGTGCAAATACAAAGCAAGCTAGAATAAAAAGTTCCTTGCATACAGACATTTTAAATATACATTTTAATACTGGGCATAGAGAAGTAGTAGAATGTGATTGAAATACTCCCTGTCAGTTATGACTTGGTCCTCATGCTAGAGGCAGCTCTTTCTTAGCTCCTCTTAAACCCAAGTCTCCATCCCCTCCTGGACAAGAATGGGGGCCTTGCAAGGCCAGGAGGGGACCGAGGTAGGGTAGAAGAAGACAACCTCTCCCCCAGCAGAGCATCCCAAACCTTTGTGGTCTCCTCAGCCTCATTCAAGTTGGGGACCACCTCTGTATGAGTGTCCCGAAAGCCTCTTCCCTTCACTCTGGACACGCCCCAATGGTCAAAGACTGGACAGGCTCTCGTGTAACCTGCTTTAAATGACTCTCAAGTCAATCAGTCCCAACAGCCAGTTGCTGCACCTAAGGCCTTCGAGAGCAGTCCTCAGAAGCTTCCTAGCTCAAATACAATTGCAGCTCTGTATGGCCCTGGCTGATCAGCATGTAGAGATGTGAGTCCTGGGTGGGATGCAGGCATGAGTCCACCAGCTTGCTTGAAAACTTAGACAGCAAAATCCAGCCAGACCAATACCTGTGGTTTCTGTCAAAGCTAAGACCCCACTTTGTGTGTTACTCCCCTGGCCTGGCTGCCCAGCCAGACCAGGCAGGCACAGTCTAGTCTCGGCGCCTAAGAGCGCACCTGCACCTGGAAATGCTCACAGCGGGCATGCTTCATGGCCAGCCCGTACACGGGCGTGAGGTCCACTTTCACACCTGGGGTCACACTGAAGTCCAGCTGCTGCAGCAGGATAGCCAGGAAGAGGAAGACCTCCCAGCGGGCAATGATCTCGCCGATGCACTTCCTCTTGCCTAAGCCAAAGAGTATCATCTTCTCACTCAGGGCCTTGTTGATGGTGCCACTGGGGGTGAGAAACCTTTCTGGCCGAAACTCAGATGGGTCGCCCCACAGCTTCCTGTAATCAAGAAAGGAAGCTGACATGGAAGTTTGGGACTAAGAACAACCACCTAGGTTCATCCCCAACCCCCAGAAGTTGGGGAATGGCAGGGACAGTGGAGTCTAAAGCCCAGGAGAATGGAGTTTTCCCCCTGCTCTTTATCAACTTACTCGTCGTGATTGATCTGCCATTGGTTCACAAAGATACAGCGCCCCTTGGGGATGTAAAAGCCATTCAGACTTGTGTCTCTTGTGGTACTGAGGAGGGAGAAAGCTCAGTCAAACTGGCTGCAAGGAGATCCCATGCCCCTCCCACTCTCTGTACCTCCCACCACTCCTGATCAAGCACAAGAATGCAAGAAAGCATAGAGAGCAGTTGGTGGGACGGAGGGTGTTTCACCTGTGGGGGATGGTGAAGGGGATGAAGGAGGAGTGTCTGAAGGTCTCCAGGATGAAGGCCTCCATGTAGGGCAGCTGGGATTTGTCAGAGAGCCGTGGCCGTCGCTCCCTGCCAATCACCGTGTCTAAAAAGAGAAAGGACCAGAAGGATGAAGGGGCTGCCCGGGCCTCAGCAGGGGAGGGGGCACCTTGATCCCTTTGAAGGGAGCCACTACCTACCCAGCTCCTTTTGGATCCTTGTCTGCACATTGGGGTTTGTCACCAGGTACATGAGACTCCAGGAGATGGCAGTGGTGATTGTGTCAAACCCTGGCCAGGTGAGAATACAAGGAGAAGTTAAGTGGTTGGTGGGTCAGGGTACTTGGGCAAAGGCAGAGCACACCAGGATAAGGTCATACCAGCTCCAAAGAGATCCATGACCACATTGACAATCTTCTCATCCGAGAGCTGAATGTTGGCGTTCTCATCCAGCTTCTTGTCCTGACAGTGCTGGATCAGGCTGTCTGTGATGTCCCGGATGTGACCCTGGGTAGATAAGGCCCCCAGGTGAGCAAGACTCCAGACCTAGACCTACCTCTCCAAGGCTGGGTCCTCACGTCCCTAGCACTGTTGCTGAAAAGGTGACCCCCTCTCTGAGGTGGCCACCCCACAATCTCTTAAGAATTTCTCCTGTGTCAGAACACCAGCAGCTCCAACTCAAAGGACATCTGAAGCCCTCAGTCTGGTACTGTTATTATCTGCAAGTGCTCTTTACCCTTTTCTCTCCCATGAGGCCAGGAGACCAATTTTTTAACTCCTATGGTCCCCATGAGAGCTAACTAGGGATGTGCACAGTAAGCCCCTATTCACTAACAAATCGCTGTTGCCAGAGATTTGGAGAACTAGTCAAGAAAACGTTTCAATTCCCTGCCAAAGATGCAATTCACTCCATGAATGACTTTACAATTCCAAGGTAAAGGCCCCTGGGAGCCTGCCAACCCCCATGCAGCTTCAGTTATCTTTGACCACCTGTCTCGTGACCCCACTTGCACCTTGCTACCCTCCTGCCTCCCCCTTGCCTCTACCTTTTCAAATGTTTTGTAGTGTTCCTTGACTATCTTCTGCAAAAAGTTGTAGAACTTCTTATTCAAGTCCTTGAAGGTAGCCAAGGTAGGGTGGGGCAGGTAACGCAGGATGGGGATGAAGTCGGCAGGATTCCCGGAAGCAGCCATCTCCCCAAACTCATTGCTCAAGTCGATTAAGCTAAGCAGCTCTTGGTCATCATGGTCATAGCGCCGGCCAAAGCATATGGCACAGATGACGTTGGCCACTGATACCACTATATACCTGTAGGGGTCAAAGTGCCCAGTGGCAGCCATCAGCTCCTGGAACTTGCTGATGAGGGCCTCGGCCTCTTTGCTCACGTGCTCCTCCAGGTAGCAGGAGGATGAGGAAGCTGGGTCGGAGGCGATGGAGAAACTCTTCAGGGCATTCTGGGCCAGGCGCCGGCGGGCGGCCCACACCGGTCCAGAGTCTGGGTTGAAGGTCATGCTCTGGCCATCAGTGATCAGGGTGAAGGTATAGAGGTCGGGCCGACCTTTGAAATCATCGCCTTGCCGCACCAGGGCCTGCCGGATGGTGTCCAGACCGCTCAGCACCACCACGGGCGTGCAGCCGATGCGGATCTCCAGCACGTCCCCGTAGCGTTGGCTCAGCCGGGACAGGACCAAGTGTGGGTTCTTCCCCAGGGTCAGTGCATGCCCAAGCAGGGGCCAGCCCCAGGGCCCTGGTGGGCTCTTCTGGCCTTTGGGGACCCGAGGTTGCCAGGCCTTGACCACCCAGAATACCAGGCAGAAGATAGCAGAGGCCAAGAGAAGCTCCGTGGCTGAGATGGGGACGGAGAATCCAAACACAGAAAACATGATTGGCATAGAGATCTCAAGGTGGCTGTTGAGAGAAGGGGCAGGAGGCAGATCAAGAGGTGAGATGGGAGAATGGGAGAAGCTATGTCCTAAAGTGTCAGCAGGCTGATCAAGGAAAAGGGGAAATATCCAGAATTGCTCACTGGGCTTGACAGGGAGGAGGTGGTAGGGAAATGCTTTTGAGTTGCTGCCTTGTACCAAGAATTCAGTCATTATTCACGGGTCCTGGCCACAGCCTCGGAACTAGGCTGCAGCGAGGCTCAAGATGACAACGCCAGGAAGTATTCGATCATGCCTCCAACCCAAACTGCCGAATTTCAGACCTCCTTCTCTTAACTGCTGCACCCATCTAAAACAGCGTTTCTCAAACTCGAGTCTATGATTTCCATATAGCATCTGCATGCTCCTTTCCTTCATATTATTCTAAATTCAACTTTAAATCCACCCACCATCATCTCAAATAATATCTGTGTGAAAGAATAGGTTTGATTTCTCCCCCTGAACATACATTAAGATAAACAGAATAGACCTGTCAGGCCCCTCCCAGAGTCCAGGCACAGTGGACCACTCTTGTCGCAGCCGCCTCTCCCCTTAGCAGTGTGTTTCAGTCAATCTGCCTGTTCTGCTCCCCACTCTGGTGAATCCTCTCACCCATCACACCTCTGGCCTATACACCCCAGCTCTTGTATGCATAAATAAATACAAATAACTCTTTTTTTGAAAAAGTGAAAGCTACTCCTGACTGACTTTACCTCCCCAAGGGGGGACTGGTGCTGAACTAGCCTGTCTTCTCTGCTCACCACACTTGTGGAAATGTTGCTGAGGGATCATCTACTTCTTTAGCCTCATTTCACTTGGGGAAATTGACGTCTGGAGGGGACAGTGGCTTAGCTGACATCACCCAGCACTCAGTAACAGCCAATATTGAGATGTCTTAGGGAAAGTTCCCTAGGAAGTTTCCAACAGCTGTGGTAGGCACCATTTGAAGGATGATCAGATCACTTCATGAAAAAGAACATTCCCAGAAGCCTCACTTCTCTACTGCTTAATTTCAGGATCTAGGAACTCCTACATGACTCAACCAATGTAGTGAGGGGACTGGGCTGAAAGGCCACTGCCAAACCTACTCTCAGCCTTAGTTCTTTATGTCCAACTATCCCACTGTTTAAAAGCAGTTGGAGAGCAGATAGACTGAAGCTCTGGGTCACAGACATCCAGACCAGGGTTTTAGTTTTGGTTGAGCTCAATTCTCATGAATGAAAAGTCTTTCTTTGCAGGTTCTCCTGAACAGAAAAAGTCTAAAATAAGTGGAAGTTTCCCCTGCAGCCCAGAGCTGCAAGAAAACTCCAGACTGGAATTTGGAAGATTCGGAATGGATCTGAATTTAAGGTCTAGGCTTGGTCTAGTAGAGGAGTGCAAATACATGAACTTCTCTTTCCAAGGCATCTGGCTGTGTCTGGGACATCTGCCTGCACTGGGGCAGAGTGCACTGGGCTCAAGGCTGGGCTCAGTGTTCCAGGCTACCTGGTATGGCCTTGGACTGGTCATTTTCCCTCTCTAGGCTTTCATCCCTTGAGAGAGCAGGTGAGACCTGATCTCAACTTCAGGGTGCCCGGATAGATCTCAGCAAAGACCCAGATGCCACCTGGGAAACCTCACAGTCTGGTTAGTGAAGTCCCACTACAGGAGAACACCCACGTCGGGAAGACTATGGTTCCCACTCCAGTGCTATAAGCAGGGACCTTCGTGGAAAAGCTGATACCCTGGGTGAACTGCAGAAAATGCTGGCCTTATTGTGCTGTGGTGTTCCCTTCCATACAATGGGTGCCCCAAGCCCTCCAGCTTAGTGAGGTGATAGGAGGCTAAGAGAGATGGTAAGCTTTGGGGGACTGATAGTGCAGTCCCCTGCAGCTGGCAGTCTCACATGAGCAGAGAAGACAGAGAACGGAATAGGGAAGGGATCTGCACAGTGCCCTAGACTCCTGTTAGATGAGCCTCTCTTGGCTCATCTTAGTTCAGCACCAGTCCCCTCTTGGGAAGGTAAAGTCAGCCAGGAGTAGCTTTCACTTTTTTAAAAAAGGTTTATTTGTATTTACTTATGTATATAAGAACTAGGGTGCAGGGAGTGAGAGGATTCACCAGAGCCAGGCTGGGGAGCAGAATAGGCAGATCTACTGAAGTACACTGCTGAGGGGAGCAGCAGGTGAGACAGGAGGTCCGCTGAACCTGGACTCTGGGAGGGGATCCGACAGAAAAGAGGTAGGGGGAGGGAGGGGTGGTGGCTCTGGGCCATGAGGAAAGAGGTAAGATCTGCTGCCCCATGTGGGCCATCTCCCAGACAGGGGATTGAACTCAGGCTGTAGCCCCTGGCAATAGCTTCATAGTGCTGAGACTTTAACCCCTGTGGCACTAGGAGGCCCAGAGTAGCTTTTAGATAAGGCAGTATAGAGCGGGTAAGAACTTAAGCTGCCCCCTTCCATCTGCCTTGCGTGTCCAGGGAGAAGCCCCAGAAGCAGCAGTGTGCTGCAGGAGGAGCCACAGACTCCCAGGAGCCCTCAGCATGTCCTTATTCCAGCCTCCCAGGGGACCTTGAGAGGAAAGTCACAGCCAATCAGACAGTCAGAGGGGTTGGAGCTGGAATCTGGGTTGTGCAGTCCTTCGAAGGGTATTTCCAGCTAAAGGTCTAGCACTAACTGTAAGAATTTGGGCAAGTTCTAACCTTGCTCTGGCCTCAGTTTCCCCACTGGGGAGCTAGACTGGTAGTGGTCGTTAAGGACACAGCCTTTTTTTTTTCTTTAAAGATTTATTTATTTATGCACACAGAACTGGGGCACAGGCCAGACTTGCAGGGGCAGTGAGACGATTCACCAGAGACAGAGTGGGGAGCAGAACAGGCACACTGATGAAGCACACTGCTGAAGGGAGCAGTGGGCAAGACAGGAGAGGTCTGCCACGCCATGTGGGTCACATGGGTTGGGGGAGTGGGGATCAAACTTATTCGGAAGTGGCTTTAGCTTCTTAGTGCTGTGTTTACCCGCTGCGCCACCAAGGAGGTCCCCACACAGCCTACAGTGCTAAAGCAGTAGCTACAGAGGAAGGCCTGGTGGCATCAAAATTTTTCTGGAGGTGGGAGGAAGGTAGCAATTCAGAAGCCCTTAACACTCACCTGTGGCTGTGAAGAGGTGCTGAGCTGCACAGAAGAGTGGTCTCTGGAGGCAGGGACCCCAAAGAAGATCAAGGAAGTCTGCAAGGGCTTGTCACCTTCAGGATGAGGGTGAAGGCACTGCCACCTTTATAGGCAGCTCACACGCAAGGCCACGCCCCTGGACTCCGGGAGGGGATCGGACAGAAGGGGGGGGGTGTGTCAGGAGTGGGGGGAGGGAAGGATGGTGGCTCTGGGCCATGAAGAAGGGGGTAAAGGGCGGGGGACAGGTAACAATCTACTGTGGGGGGACTATCTCCTCTAAGTGACTGAATGACTGTACTTCCTCCAGGGGGTGAGGGCTGAGGAATTGGGACCCCAATTCCAAGGTACCCCACAGACAGTGCAGAACCCAGCCTAGGCGAAGATCCTGGGAAGAAGTTCCAGGGAATTCCAAGAGTACAGGGGGGGGGGGCGGGGGGGTTCTATTCCTTGTGCACCACCAGCACCCTTATTTTACACATACTGCCTTAGGGTCTCTCCCTCACTACGAGTGGGATGGGGCCAGGCTGGCAGGGCTGGAGCTGGCTGGTGATGAACTTCCCCCGGGGCTACTGAGTCGAGGCTCGCGTGAGAAGCCAGACGACCCCAGCCCGAGGTCACCGGGGACCGGAAGGCCAGAGGCGCCGATGGGTCGGCGGAGTTCCCCTCCGTGCGGACTAACAGCTCACGGATCGAAGAGCCGGTATGGATGGATAACAGGCAGTGTGGCTGCGCGCTCGGCCACGGGCTCAGCGCCGCCTCTAGGGTCACTTTGGAGAGATGAAAACCTTCAGCCGGGACCACCAAGCCCCTCCGCTTTGGTCTTAGCTGCCGGGGTTGCTAATGCTTTGGTGGAGCCGAGAAACCGGACGGCGACTAGGGCTGCGCTGCCACCTTCCGCCAGGAAAACTGTGGGGACAGGACCTCGAGCCGGGCAGGCAGGGGACCCAGGTCGGAGGTGTCTGCTGGGTACAGATACCTCTCCAGACCGGCGTGCCCGCGTCTGCACAGCCCTCCGGGGAGCAGAGGTCACGCGGCCTGTCCCCGCCCCTCTGGCTGGGGGCGCGTTGCCCAGAACTTGCGTGAGAAGCGCCCGGAGGCCGCGTAGCCACCCCACCTCCCAACTGCCGGCCCGGCGCGGGTACCCGGAGTCACGCGAAGGCTGGGGGAGGGGATCTTAAAGGCAGGTCTCGGTCGGGCTTGGGCTGGAGGTGGAGGTGGAGGAGTTGCGGAGAGCCTGGAGGGTGCGCAATTGGGCAGGTAGGGGAGGAGGGGCAAAGGGCTGGAGTTTGCGTGCGGAACACCTCTTTGCAGTCGAGCGGGCGCTTGCGTGTGTCCGGATTTCTGGTCCACGCCTGCGGCAGGACACGCACCTCCTGCACCACCCGGCTGGCCCGACTGCCTTCCTCTGACACCCTCCCCGCCCCTGCCGTGTCCTCCCGAGGTAGGGACAAAATGTCGGATTTGGGTGTCCACCTCAAACCTGCCCCTAACTAACCACGCCGCCCGCCCGCGCTCCCTACTATGCACCCCCTACCCAGGGAACGAGGCCGCCACCCGTCCCCTGCCCAGGTCAGAAATCAGCCTCACACTGCCGGCTCACCTCCCACTCAACAGATGCCACCTGATGCATTGCACAAATATTTACAAACGCCTGCTGTGTGCTGCGAGCTGTTTTGGACGCCAGTGTCTAATCAAAACTGACAGCACTCCTGTTCTCGAGGAGCTTACGTTCTGGCAGGCTTGGGTGCACCCTGAACCGTAAGACGACAGCAAGAAAAAATAGACAGTGTCCACAGAGAGAAACAAAGTCAAAAAGGGACAGAAATCACGTGGGGGGTGGGGGCAGCCTGCAATTCAAAATAAGGTGACCCGGGAAGTCCTCGTGGACAAGATGACTCTGGGCAGAGGCAAGAGTGTGGACTCCCGACTCAAGATGTGCAGTTATCTGGAAGGGGAGAGTTCTAGGCAGAAAAGGGCAAGTTCAGAAATCCTGCACAGTAACATGCAGTCCAGGGGTACTTGTTGGGAAATTCTCCTGACATTTAGTGCCCCCAGGGGATGGGATGCTTAAGGCGGGACCCCAACTCAGGGAGCACTTTATTTAAGAAACAGGGAGCTTTTTCCATGTGAGATGGAAAATGATGTGAGCCAGGTGGATCTACAAACTGACTGAAGGACAAGAACAAGCTTCTATGCTCTGACTTCTGTCCAGCTCCACAGCTCTAAGCCCTTGCAAACCCCCATCCTTGCTCCCAGACTACTTAGCCTCTACCCTCTCCAATTCCTTCCACATCCCATACAAATTCTCAGTCACTTTGCCCCTTCAGTGTCTCCTATTGTTAAGAGGAGAAACCAGAATCCTTTGCAGAATCTACCTGGTCTGTCCACATCTACTTTTTTTTTTTTTTAAGATTTATTTATTTATGCATATAGAACTGGGGTACAGAGGTGCAGGGGTCACCAGAGTCAGAGTGGAGAGCAAAACAAGCAGATTGATGAAGTACACTACTGAGGGGACCAGTGGACGAGACAGGAGAGGTCTGCTGCGCCATCTGGGTCACCTCTACCATGTGGGTCACCTCCCTGGCTGGGAATTGAATTCATGCTGGAATGGTTATACTGGAGTGACTGTGGTTAGCTTCGAAATGCTGTGCTTTAACCAGTTGTGCCACCAGGGAGGGCCCTCCATCTCTGCTTCTAATTTTCCCTACTTTAACTCTCAACTAAAACAACACTTCCTCTGGGAAGCCTTCCGGGATTCTTTGCACAGCAGATTAAGTTTCTCCTGGCTGTCTACAGCACTTCTCCCTAGTAATACTCAGGATACTTTACTATGACTGATTCAACCAGTCACTCCTATTTCCATGCCCTAACACAGAAAACCAACCTGTGGAAAATTGATCTGATAATTCTAGTGCTTTGCAAGATATTAGCAACTGGGAAAGAAGTGACACACACTGTATTATGGAAGGGGCTCATGGCTGAGGTGATGTTGAATCCAAAGTGCTGATTGTAGGGCCTCCCTGGTGGCGCAGGGGTTAAAGTCTCAGCATTATCATGCTATCACCAGCCACTGTGGCATGAGTTTGATCCCCCGGCCAGGGAACTGACCCACATATGGCATAGCAGACCTCTCCAGTCTTGCCCACAGCCCCCCTCAGCAGTGTACTTCAGTAGATCTGCCTGTTCTCTCCATTCTGTCCTGGTGAATCTTCCCCAACCCCACAGCTACGGCCTAGACCCCAATTCTTATATGCATAAATAAAATAAGAAATCTTTTAACAACAACAACAACGGGGCCCTCCCTGGTGGTGCAGCCGGTTAAAGCACAGCACTAAGAAGCTAAAGCCACTGCCGCATGAGTTCGATTCCCGCCTGCCCTGGAGGTGACCACATGGCAAGGCAGACCTCTCCTGACCCACCCATTGCTCCCCTTAGCAGTGTACTTCGTCAGTCAGCCTGTTCTGCTCCCCGCTCTGTCTCTGGTGAATCCTCTCACCACCCCTGCATCTCTGGCCTGTACCCCAGTTCTGCATAAATAATGCATAAATAAATAAATCTTTAAAAACAACAACAGAGAGCTGGTGCTCTGCTGGGATTTGGGCAACAGGACAGGGGACAAAGAAAGTATTCCACTACCATCCTTCCATCCATTCCACTTTTACATCTCTGGCTCAGTCTGAGGAGCTCCAGCAACTTAGAGAGGCCTGTCCTTCAATTCCAGATAGCGCTATAGCCACAAAGAATAGAGAAGTCATGACAAGGACGTGGGGAAATAAGTGTTTCCAGACCTCTCTTCCCGCTCTGTAGCCCAGTCTCTCCCTTCGCCGCCCACAGTCCCTCCCATGCCCTAGCTCTAGAGAATCAGAGTGGCCTGCTCTTCATGGCTAGAAGATCATCGAGTGCTGGGTCTTCTGGCCAGGGACCCAGGGATGCATTACTTTGCTCACAATCTCTGGGGGCTCTATACACCAATATCTTCAGTGGCTAATTAAATCAATTCTTATTCCACTTCTCCCCCAGAGAGACCCATGCCAGAAAGGAGAAGTCCAGAGACACATGACAAGCCAAAGCACAGCCCAGAATTCTGATCTCCTGCTTCCAAGCCAGGACTCTAAACACTGAGCAAGATGTGTTGTCCCAGACTACCCGCAACACCCCAGGTGGTTAATCATGACAGTCTTAGCCCCTGGGTCAGCGCCCCCACATAACCACCTTCTGGACACAAGTTCTGTGCACAAGGGTTATGGGAGGCTTTTGCATTTCTCATCACCAAGTTCTGTCTCAGCAAACAACTCACAAGACAAAAGGGGGCCCTCAGGAGCATGGGGCAGAGAAAGAGGGAGACAGGCAGGAGGTTAGAGGACCTTGACCTGGAGCTATACAACCAACCTTGGGTCAAAGTTTGTTTTGCATGCCTTTGCGTGAGAAGTTCTTTGGCTGGGATTCCCTAGGTGATCGATCGATGTGGGGAACAGAGTGGCGCAGGGGCAGAGGGGAGGGGAGAGGGCTGTGGGCTGGAGGGATGCAGACAGATGAGGACCCAGCAGAGTGACCCGGTGCCTTTGTCCAGCACTCCTGATCACTCAACAGAAGCCATGAGGAGACAACCAACCCCATGACAAATCCTTGCCTCCCCCCCACCCCAGTGGAGACAAGTTGCCGACAATCTATGCTGGATCTGGAAATATTGCTGGAATGGAGGACCCTCGGAGGGGGGAGCTCTCAAGGACAGTGAGAGCTGGAAAAGAGCCATGGAAAATGAGCTTTATAGGAAGCAGGCAAGAGGGTGCAGAGCATATAGTGGTTGCAGGGTAGTGGGAGTTTGGGGTGAGGCTGCTTGGGAAGAGGGGTTGGAGTACATGAGGAGAACTGGATTTTGTCTCCCCGTGACTTCACCCCACCTAGCCACCCTGCACCCCAAAAGATCTGAACCCTGAACACCTACCCCCTCCTACACATGCCCAGAGAACAAGAGGATTTGATTTGCAGGGCCCAGGACTCAGATGGCAGGGGGTGGGATGGGGGAGCTCTGGATCCCTGGCTGCTCACTGCCATAGTTAG